TCACTCAGACAGCTGCTGGCTGCTGAGGCTGAGAAGCCCCAAGGTTGACAAGTAAAAAGGCACAGTCCCGATGTTACCAAACCACATGGCAGGCCGTAAGTCCACTGTAAGTCTCAAGGTCAGCAGAGCAAGCTGCTAAGCAGAGATGGCTACATGCAGGGTCCAAGCGTGCCATAGGCTAGAGACCATTCCCAATGCTTCTCCTTATATACGGGAAGCAGACCACATCCCAAAGGCAGCTACTCAACTCAGCTGCTCGTGGCAGATTCCACCACGGAATTGATTGCCAGTCTCATCATGGGGAATAACTACCACCAGCTGCCCAGCCAGTCAAGCAGGCCCAGCCAAGCTGACACACAAATATAACTACCACCAATGCCTTAGGCAGTACACCACCAGAGGTGCTTCTGAATCTCTTAGGATCATTTTAAAAATCTGGCCAAATAATTTGGTGTTTACTTTTTCCAAATTAAAATCCAAAACGACTGCCATTGTTGAGTCAGTTCTGACTCATAGTTACCCCTGTTGGGTCTCCAAGTCTATAAATCTTTACAGAGGAAGATTGCTTCTTCCTCCTGGAGAGCGGCTGGTGGGTTTGAACCACTGACCTTCTTGTTAGCAGTCTAATTAATGCCTTACCCACTGTGTCACCAGAGCTCCTTAAAGTTTCTAACAACTGTTTTTAAAACTGACATTTTGCATATAGGCTGGGCCTTTTACAACAACTGAATTGTATTTCTCTCAGAGCTTTTCTGTGGAAATTACCACTATTCCAACAGGGCCTAACTGGCCCTGACCTCAGATGCTTCTGTTTACTATCTTGCCAGGAAACCCACTGAGGTATGATCTTTTATATTTCTACCCTGTCCCTTCATTCATTTAAAGTAAATGTCCCTTATGTCCGTTGTACTCATTCCCATTAGTGCACTTTAGATAGTAGCTTCTGGCTTTGTTGTAGACCTTAGTTTCTGGTAACTTTCTACTTGGCTTATTCCTGTCACTATTTGGTAGCATGTTATATGAATTGCACTTCTCCCAAGTACACACCTATTTCAGGAGGGAAAAAAAAAAAAAAAAAAAAACCTTCTTTCATTGTAATACAAGCTGCTTTTGACTTCCATCTGGAACAATGTCAGCTCTTATCCCTTGAAGGCTCCCAGGCAGCAGTGATGGGTGAAAATCTGAGGGACGGCGGATGAGCGGGGGCCTCTCTTACCCTCATTTCCACCCTCAGAGAAGTGGAGTGTTTCCTTTCAACCTTGAGTCCAGAAAGAGGGTTGTTGGCAAAACTTTCCTGCTGATAGTCCTGCCCTTTCCAACCTGCCCCGTCCTAATCAGTCAGACATTTGTTTCTAATATGCCAGCTGACTGTCTTTGAAGTGGTATATGAGGGTTAATGAATGGATTCTCTCAGATTTCACTGATAGAGTTAACCAGAAAAAAGTTTATTCCAGAGATAATTCAACACAGGCTATTGTAGAATGTCTTCCCCACCATATTGTAATGATACACACAAAAGGCCTAAAAATCAGAGCTATACATCTAAGAACAAGACAGACAGGATGGCGCTGTTGTACATGTGCAAACGTTCTTTTAAAACTGACGATAAACTATTCTGACGACCATAATTGACTGCCATGGACCCCAGAGAAAATCAGAATTTTAGAATTGGAAACATACTTGAACGGATGAAGAAGAAACGATTCACTCTACCTTTGACAAGAGCACCAGTATTCAGTGATGATGACAACAAAATGAGTACAAAAAAGGGGTGGAATATATTCAAGGAATGTTCACCAGTTTTGTTCGAAAATAGAACCCACTGTTGGAACAGCACCAACTGGGCCAGTGTGTTGACAGCAGTTAAACATTGTCAGTTTTCTTTCTTGAAATGCTTGCTGCATTGTAGGGTTTCCAGAGTTGTAAGATTTGACCAAGAAACATTCCTTAAGGTCTACTTTCCTTCACTCTCTGGAGAAATTACTGGTCATTCTCTTAATGTTTGTAACTTTAGGTCTCCAGAAGTGATGCTAGAGGCTGCAGTGCCCTCAGATCAAAGCTGGTCCACCAGCAGGCTCAACTAGGATCAGAACTGTGGAACACGACAGGGAAGGCAGCCCCACGTAAGGCCTTGTGCCCATGCACTTGAACAGGTGGAGAGGAAGTTAGGCTAAAAAACCTGTGGTTGGCAAAAGATTGCATAGCGATGATTGAGCATTTGTAGATGAGTAAGGATGGTCTAATAAATTAGACGTGCTAATACTGTTCCAGTAGCATTTGTCAGAAAGGCATTAAACAATGCTTATTTGTGACAATCTAGGGCAGCCCACGAGTGAATTAAAATAACCCAAATCCTGCTAATAAATGTTAGCAGACATGGCCTTGTCATTTACTAATTTTTAATATTAACTGAAAGGAAATTACATT